TTTTTTTAAAAAAAAAAGAAAATTTATAAATATATAATAGGAATAGAAATTTACTTAAAAAAGTAACTAAAATCTCACCAGCAAATGTCATTCTTACTATTATTCATATATTTTTTCGATTTTTTTAATGGGCGGTGAGCTTTCAATTTGAAATTCAAATTATGAAACATGCGATAATATTGAAATCATCTAATTTTATGTTCACGGCTTGATATATATTCAAATTCAAACCCAAATTAGCTATAAAATCAATCATAAGATATTCATTGATGATTATTATACAATTTTTTTAGATTTTTTGGAGTTAAATATTGCAGAAAAAATCTCGAGAGTTGTTAAATGATACATATCAAAATAAAAATATTATTTTTCAATTAATCCAAAAGGCCTTATCAAATTAAACTGTAACAAACTCTATTAATTTTGGTAAACATTATGTCATATTGATATGACACATAATCTTCAAAATAAAAGATTAATTGTTGACTTACTAATATAATCATTATCAATGGCTCCCTCATGTTAACCAATTTAATTGGATTCTGATAACAAATTTGATCGAATTTTGATAACAAATCTCGGATTTTGGTAACAAATTTGATCGAATTTTGATAACAAATCTCGGATTATGTTAACAAACTTGATCTGATTATGAGAACAAATCTCAGATTGTGATAACAAATCTCGGATTTTGATAACGAATCTTTTAATATATCCTCTTTTTGAAGACACATAGTTATATTCACACAATATATTGCCCATAATATTTGGAATTTCTTTTGGTAACAAATTTCACAATTTTTTTGATTGCTTGGAGTTAAATATTGCAGAAAAAAAATCTCGATATTTGATAAAAGATTCATTTCAAAATAAATATAGTTTTTTTCAATCAAACCAAGAAGTCTTCCCTAATTAAATTGTAACAAACTCCATAAATTTTGGTAAACATTATGTGACATTGATAACACATAATATTCGAAATAAAAAATTAATTATTGACTTACTAATATAAGCAATATCAATGGGCTCCACATGTCAACCAATTTAATCAAATTTTGGTAACAAATTTGATCTTATTTTGATAATATATCTCGGATTTTGTTAACAAATTTTATCTGATTGTGATAATAAATTTCGAATTGTGATAACAAATCTCAAATTTTGATAACAATTTTTTTAAAATAACGGTTTTCTTTGTAACACACTTTATAGTTATTTACACACAATATATTGTCGATAATCTTTGGGATTTCTTTTGGTACCATATTTCACATTTTTTTTTCAGATAGATTAGAGTTA